CAACTCCCCAATAAAAAAATGTACAAACCAAGCCTTCATCATCAATCGTCGGGAGTTCGAGGAGGCCTTCAACAACAAGCAAACAGCCCTGGCAAACCATCGGTCCTGCAATCCAGCAATCCGATGATGAATCAGTCATCTTCATCAGAAAATAACAGACAGGATCTCGTTTTAATGTTTCTGACCAATAAGAGGCTTTGGAGGGTAACAATTTATAGCTGTCTTGCAAGAGTGATCGCACATCCATTTGCTGTTGTTGCTGCAAATAAGCAAGTGTATGGCCACCATATCAATCTTTGGAAAATAATTAAATCGGATGGAATTTTAGCTTTTTTCAAAGGAGTGGAATATCATTTGTACCTTGCAATACCTCAATCATTACTCGGATGGCTTATCATCAAGACTTTATCTCCAATTCTAAAGAGATATGGTGTTGGAGGCTTTTTAATTTCAAAGGTCATTATGAATATAGTATTATATCCCATGTATTTGAAGCAATCAAAGGCTCTGATTTTGGACTTTACAAGCGTTTCTAAAGAAGAAACATCATTGTCATCTGCTGAAACAAAATTAGAGGCTTTACCTCATACTCAAGTTTATTCAAAAACGTTATGGCAAATAGTGAAAGATTGGTGGAACAGCGGACCTTTATTCAACATGGCGAAATCATTTTACAATTCTTTAGATTTTACAGGAATTGGAATCAAAATGACAGAAATTGTGGTATTTCATGTTATTTACAAACAAGTTTATAAGACAATACCTAAATTGAAAATACCTTACAAAAATTATGAGGTGGTGCAATTGTTAATTTCAAATATGGCTGCTTTACTATTCAGTCATCCCATTGAAACCATTTATCGAAGGATACTCTCAAAACCTCACCATGAAAAAACAAGCATGATTAGTGTGATTAAGGAGGTTAGAAACAGTGGCTTTATGTCCTTGTACAGTGGCTATCTTTTCACAACAGCCAAACTTGTATTATTTCCAATCATTTTTGAAACACTCAATTCAAGAAAAACGAGGGTGCAACAATGAACAGCATTTCAATGATGAATAAATCAAAAATAATCATGATCACGTCATGGGTGGCCACCTCTCTCACATTCGTGCGTGCGAAAAAAATATCATCATCTCTTTCATTCATTACTACATCTTTCCATCAACTGCATCACTGTCGACAGTTTCACAAAAGAATGAACTCCTCTAGTAATAGCGTTTATATGGTCTATTCAAAGATACCAGAAAATTTGAATGTAGGTGGTCGGAAGTGGTGATACCTCCGGAATTGGTTCATCAAAAAATATTTTCATATCATCACATATATTATTAAAATGTTTGAACGAACTATTAATTTTTTGAAAAACCTTACGGATTCAAACCGATATTATTTACCAACAACAGCCCACAACAAAGAAAATTGGTACTCATAGTGGATCCTTTCATTGCGATGAATCTCTTGCTATCGGTTTGTTGAGTTTGTTACAAGAATACAAAGATGGAGTTGTGATTAGAACAAGAGATGAGAAAATTTTAGCTGAATGTGATATTATTGTTGATGTTGGAGCAGTTTATGATCCTTCAAGACACAGATATGATCATCATCAAGCTAGTTTTAAGGATACTTTGAATTTGGATAAATTTACCAAAATTAGATTGTCCAGTGCTGGACTCATTTACAAACATTTTGGAAGACAAATTTTGGAAGAATTAATTGGTGATAAAGCAACAGACGAGCAGAAAGATGATATTTATTTGAGAGTTTATGGAAATTTCATTGAACATGTTGATGTAGGTATTCAACCTTGTATTTTTAAAATTGATCTTGTGTCATGAAATGTTATGGAAAATGATTTTGAAATACTTCATGCGTATTATGAATCTTCATGATTGCAACGTTGCATGGACATACACTCCCACTTGTGTAAAATTTTTTGGAATTGTTGCTAACTATTATCATCTTGATCATTTCACACGTGGATATATAATAGGCCAATGACAATGGTATTGAAATTTCAGACGGAGAGTTGAAATATAAAATCACAACAGCTCTTCCAAATCGTGTGGGTCGGCTTAATCCCAAATGGAATGCACCAAGTGATGAAAATATTGGGTTCAGAAAAGCGATTGAACTCACACGTAATGAATTTCTTGAAAGTTTGGACTTTTATGTCAATGATTGGCTTCCAGCTTATACCATTGTTGAAAAAGCATTCCTCGCAAGAGAATCTGTAGATCCATCTGGTGAGATTATTGTGGTTGATCAATTTTGTCCATGGAAAGAGCATTTATTCGTTTTGGAAGAAAAATACAATGCCAAAGGTCTCATCAAATATGCCCTCTTCCAAGATGTGAAAGGAGATTGGAGAGTTCAAGCAGTGCCGGTGGAACCAGGATCTTTTTCATCGAGAATTCCTCTTCATAAAGATTGGAGAGGTATTCGAGATGCTGAATTGAGTGAAAAATCAGCAATTCCTGATTGTATCTTTGTGCATGCTTCTGGCTTTATTGGAGGAGCCAAAAGTTTTGAGAGTGCTTTGAAAATGGCTCAACTCTCACTAAGAGCATCGACTCAAGTAGAGGAGCCAGAACAGAAAAAGACAAAACAAGATTAAATTCGAGTTGTCACTCAAAAGGCTCAATGTGTGAAACAAATGATGATCTGAACGTGTTGAGTGGTTTTGAAATCAAACATGACTGGAGTGGAAGGATTGAGCGCCACTCTCTGATGATGCTTGAATCAAAAGGTCTTTCATCTTTTATATTTGGGTAGGTTCCAAAATAGGTATTCAAACAAAAGTTGGCGCGTAAACCATGCGTTACACAATTCATTTAAAAAAAATGTCTTCCGCTGCTCTGCCTCCTTCCTCATCGCATCATGTTCGGTCCAACTCCACCACCTCTTCCTCCGCACACTCCACCACCACTACCACCACTTCAGACCATTCCAATCAAGCGGAACCACAACTCTCTCATCATTCTGAAGATCCCAACAACACACAATTAGTATCGCGGAGTGATGTTGCTTTCATAGTCTTGCAATATTTACGAGAAGAGAATTTTAAAGAGAGTTACGAGGCTTTCAAGAAGGAATCAAGAGAGATCTTGGCGGACTTTGATACAAACTCTCAACTGAAAGGGTTAAGCAAAATACTCACCGAATATGTACAGCTCTCTAATTTACAACAACAAAATTCATACAGACAAGCTCTTGTTCATTCCATTTGTAGAGACGTCAAGAAACAACAGACAGTGTCGAACCTGTTGGAAGCAATGACAAGTTTGTTAGAAAGTGTTTCATCAGAACAATTTATCTATTCTTCTAATCCTGGACATCATTCGAATCAGGAATCATCCACTCGATATTGTTATCCTCCTTCCCAACAGCAACAACCCATTGGTTCGAATTCACACAATAGTACAAATGCACACTCAATGGCTCAATTTGATCGAGTCCAGACGAATGTCACTGCCTCCTCTTCTTCCTCGAATTCTTCGTCTACAATGACCACTGGTAACATTTCTTGTACAACACCCTCCATTTCACCTTCAGCAACCAGCTGTACAGGTACGATTCCAAATCATTCTGTGATTGGTTCAGCATTGTCACCTCATTCTTCACATTCAAGAGATAGCTCGTCAACAACAAATCATTCAATTGTGTCAGCAGCTTCTGTTGCTTCTCAAGTACCAGTAACCAATCAGAGCAAACAAAAAAAGTCATCCACTCAGACAAAAACCAAAAAACAGTCAAAAACAAGTAAGGTAGAAAAGAAGGCCACGACCTCAACTCAACCGCCACCAACTTTTCCACCTCTTTATCCTCCTCTCAATGCATGTTTTCCCTTTCCAATGTATCCACCAAATGCAATCCCTTTTCATCCAATTCCAGTGACGCTTCCAGATCCTATTGAAACTCCACTTTCGACAAACTCTTCAACACCTGCCTCCACAAACTATTCATCAGACCAAAAGGAGAATCATGGTAACATGCAAATTACTCCTCCATCATCTTCACCAAAGACTCCACGTCACAAAGGACAATCATCAACTTCGCCGACAACGATACAGAAAATATTTGGAAGTGTTCCAAACAGCACATCAACAGCAGAGCCCAATTTCGCTGCTGATGACTTTTTCAATTCTCCTTCCTTCTTTTTTCAATCTCCTCTTCTTGCAAAAACATTAACATCTGGCAAAAGAAAACGAGAAAGATTTGAAATCGAAGAAAATACTGGCCTATGCGTGACGTTATTTGAAGACAACAACACCAAGGCGGACAAAGACCATTCAGATGTTGATGCATTCTTGGCTACTCTCAAATACGACTAATTTATTGATACTTAACGTTGATACCTAGACATTTAACTGTTTGATTGTCCTCCTTTCTGTTGATGTATAATAATATCTCTTGAGAACCTATTGTGAAGCAAGGGAAGAATTTCATGTAGATCACATGCCTTTGCCCAGGAGCGAGGGTCACTTGTTCAACCTTAAATCTTAACAACTCAGGATGATTGGAGGAAATTGTATAATCGATGGTTCTTGGTTCTGCATTGACAAATGACAGTTTAAGTTTTTCAGTAGAGTTGATAGGAATGACATGATTGTAGGTTTTTGAGGGTGTTTGCTGTTGCAAATTAATTTTAAAGAAATATCTCGCCAGCAGTTTCGTTCCTGAATGACTAGTTTCCAGAATATGAAACATTGAGTTGATGGTTCCTCTTTCAGCATTTAAATCTGGCGTAAATTTGACTTGCAATGTTTCTTCTTCGAAGGAGCAATCGATATGATCAGTATCTATTTTCTCACATCGAACATAAGCGTCACTCGACACGGAAAGTTTTGGAATATGGAATTCTGAATAATTTGTTTGTCCTATTAATGCGTCAAATGTGAATGTTTGTACTGGAATGATAACCACTTTCCATATTTCTATTAATCTATGGAAATACTGGTCTCCAAATATCAATACATAGCCAGAAGATTTGGTGTTATTGACAAGGGTTGATTTTAAATCGATGCTAATGAATGATGAGCTCTGCAAAAAGTAAAAAGTTGCTGTCATTGAATAATAATATACTTACATTTGCATAGGAGCTTGTGCTTGCATAAATATTACCATTGGTTTTCACAAAAATGTTAGCCGCATGCAAATGTTCATGCCCAAATTCGGCAAGGGAGTACTTGACTTTCTTTTTGTAAGTGACTCGCCCAACAGTTTCAACCACAGGATGGAAAAATTCAAAATTCTTTTAGAGTTATCATGAATTTCAAATACATTCAAAAAACAACATACCTGATGAATAACAAAACTTCTAGGCACAACTCTGATTTTGATAATCTTCAAGATAGACCCAGAACTGTTTTTAACCAGAACTCTAATTTCTTCAACATTACTATTTTCTCCCATATCTGAGAAACATTGGAATTTGAAAGGAATTTGACATTGTACATTGCTTTGTAGCGAAAATCTATAGGCATAACTTCCCTGCGACTGTAATTGAATGCATTTCCAGTTTTGTTGAAAGTCGCTCAACATCAGTCGTTCTTCTTCGTCCACAATCATTGACAGACTCAATTCTTTTTGCTCAATCTCTACAGTAAAAGCATGATCCTTAGTATACATATTTTTGAATGGAATTTCAAAATACTCAAGCTCTCCAAAAGAGGCATAGATAACTTTGTGTGAGGTGAGCATCTCTTCAATATTGTGTAGAATTACATTTGTTTTTTCCTTATTGCGGTATTCCATAACCTTCTGTAATTTTGAAGAGCAATATTCTATCAGCTGTTTGTTGTTCATTTGTTCAATCTCTTTGAATGATGGTTCTTTAAGGCTTGTCAAGAAGTTATACTGGTCATACAGACTTAGAGTTGGCCCATCTGGTTTTTTCTTCCGAGAAGTAGCTTCATATTTTTGTTTAGCTTTTACGAATTTGTTGATCTGCGATTCGGCAGGCTTGCCCACGTTACTGACAGTGACTACAATCTTTCCCAAATGTGTGCCTTTCAGCTCTTCAGCAAAACCTTCGTCTGTTATTATACTTTCTAAACTTTCAATAACGTCATATTCTCGTGTTTGTTGTACACTTGTTTCAGATGGATCTCGCATGAACAGTGCTAATGGAATTCTGAATACCCCATAACAAAATCTAGATTCATTGTCAAAAGTATTGACAAACAAGCTATCGTTACGAAGGTACGCCAAAAACTTGGAATATTCTTCTTCTGTTACAGTACTTGCATCCAGTGTAAATTTAAGCTGTAATCCATAGTTTCCATTGTAATCATTTTGATTCTTTAAAGATAGCACATAAACATCGTTCTCTTCAAATGAGGTAGGCTCCACTAGATACAGAGGCGTTTTGCTCGTATCGGTTTGTGAAAATGTGAAGAATTGAAACTTGAAGTAAATAGATTTTGGTATGTTTTGGCCTACTCAAAAATTACAGCTCAATTCTACACAACAAAATACTTACTCTTTTTTGGCATAAATGAAAGAAAGTTGAAATACATGTTATGAGACTGTAGCTCCATATGATTGTCAATGCTTGACTCTTTCCCGTCGCCTATTAGCCTTCTTCCGTTCATATCTTCCACAACATTGAATTTCAGGCTGTTCATGAGTTGTTTAATTTCTTTAGTAAGATTTCTAGATCTACCGAGTTCAACTTTCTCCTCATGGTAGTGGTTAATAGCAGGAACAGAAAGAGCATCAAGGTCAGACCCTGGAGAGCTTAACTGTTCTAGTATATAATCTGATTGCTCTTTGTTATTTTTAGGAGTTGACGGCAATTGTTCATTGAGACTTTCGTCTGCAATTTCTGGTGGAAGTACAGCGGGGTCTTCAATTTGTTGAGGTTCTGTCGGAATTACTGCGACATCTTCCTCAATTGGATGGGAAGCAGCTCCGACTTTTGGAGGTGGAGAAGTGTTTTGAATTTCATCCTTTAGGGATTGTTGCTTCACCAGTTTCTTTTTTTCTTCCTTCACAATTTTTTCCTCTACATCTCCGTTCGAAACGCTAAAGTAATTAAATTGAAGTGTGAACTTTTGATCCTGCTGCTCTGTCACCAAATTTGATGCTTTGAACACAGGTTTTCCCAAAAAACTAAGTCCGGGTGAACATATGACTTCCTGCTCGATTTTGCCAAACTTCTTGAGGTTAGGGAAAAATAAGCAATACCCCACTGAAACACTATAAGTTGTAAAGTCAATTTCTGGAACAGTCTTTTTGTTTTTGTTGCTTCCTGTTAGTTTATCCATGAATGATCTCTTGAATTCACCTAGAGGTAATGGTACCTCAAAAATATAGTGAACTTCAAAAATGATAGCACACAATTCCTGCTTCACAACCTTTAAGGAAAAATTATTGTCGAGCCTCAAGCTTGCAACCTCTCCCGACATGTCATTCTTAACAGGAACTAAGGTCGACTCTGATGGTCCTTGGATGTACGTAAAGGTATTATGAGAACCAATACTCAGTACTCTTTTCACCAAGGAAACTTCCTTTTCATTGTTGACAAATTCTCCGTGTTCCTTTCGTCGTTGATCTTTCATATAACTTAGAATTTTTTGTTCAAACTGAATTGGTAAAGTAAATTGGATATCTACAATGTTGGCCTGAAAAGCATCGGACAGACTTGGATTTACCAAATCTGTAATACACTTTGATGAATTATATCTGATTCCAGGAATAAAATCTTTTTGGCACACAATATCGTTAGGCCTAAAGTAATTTACAGCTCCACTTGTTTTCAACTCAGGGTGAGTGAAAAAGGAGTAACTTATTTTTGTGTATGTTTTCTTTGTCAGTTGATCCTCGAGAGGCTCTGCAACAAAGCTTAAAACCCTAGGTGATCCTTCGAATGTAAAGCATTCTCTAGAAACATTAAAATTTTCGTCATTAACATATGACATTAGGTGAGGAATGGTGTCAACAGACTTGCCATATTTTGTTTCTTTAAAAATCCTTAATATTGTCCAGGCGGACGAAAATTCATGGACAATTGTTGATTTTTGTCTAAATGCTGTAATGACTTCTAAGACTAGTACGACCGATTCATCCACAATATTGCTAGAGAAAAATAGAGGCATTTCAAATTCAACGCTTTCTTGAATTTTTTGGTGGTCCTTTTTGACCTGCCTCACGAAATTTCTACCGACATATGGTCCATAAAATGTTCTGCTGAGCCACGTTTTGGTATGAGTATGAAATAAGGTTCCTGATAATCTATAGTCAACCGTAATAGAATGCTCGCCGAATTTTTTTAGTTCCTCATGTGGTACATTAATATTTGTTGCTTGGTGTATCACCACTGTGTATGGAGTGTACCTTTTGATACATTTGATTTTGTCTAGCTGTTGAATATATTGGTCGAGATCTACTCTCTTGTCATTTACTTCGTCAATGACTAAATAAATATCGGAGTTCACAGGGGTTCCTTTTTTTCTTTCAAAGTTTGCCCAAAACTTTTTCCTCAACACCATTTCGGCTGATGTGTCGTTATCTTCGTTGAAGGTGCTGTCCTCAATACTCGTTTCTTCTTCATCTTCTGAATATTCTTCATGAAATAATGTTGTTAGTGATTTCAAATCCCCAACATACCTTCATCAATTTCTTCTTCTTCCGAGTTCTCTTCATTCTCTCGATTCAATCCATCCCGAATCACAGAGCGCTGATGGGATGGAGACTGCTGAGATGGTGTTGTTGGCATTTTTATGTGGTGGTTATTGCTGTTTAATCTTATTTTCTTCCATACAAAGCCTTAGCAAAGCCTCCTCGCGCTCATATTTTGTATGAATACACTCTTTCAGTGCATGCACTCACGAGCATCGTTGTTTCAAACATATGGTGAGGGACATCAGAACGCATGCATGGGAATGAACAGAGGGGGAGAACGGGAAAGGCTGAAAAAGAGGGAAGAGACTGTGCTCATTTCTTGCTTCAGTGCTGATTTCCATCGCGACTCTACTCTGATTCTTCTAAGGAAACTGAATCGATTGTTCATATCGGAACAAATTGAGAGGATCATACTTTTGTTTGATTCTTCTTAATTCCCACATATTCTCTCCATAATACGAATATTCATAATTACGCAGTTGTGCATCACAATAATTAGCATAGGAAAATCTAGAAAGATATTTGGGAGCTGTTTTTTCATAGAAGGAATGAATCCAATCCTCTGCCAATGGAGTGAGTGCCCGTTGGTTGTAATAAATCATATATTGAGCATGGAAAAGAGCATTTCGATGCGGAAAGGCAGTCTCCTTAGAAGAAACCTGTGGAATGGCTCCACCATATGAATCAAATTGAACACATGAGAAGGAATGATCCAATGCAGCATACGTGTAGGGAGAAGAGAGAATATTTGCAAATTGCTGAATGGCTTCACTGGACAATGCACGAAAGGCATAGGCACTTTTCGTCTTGTACAAGATGGGATGTTCAAGTGATGGTTCTGATTTCATCATGGCTTCACATTCTTGCAGAGTCTTACATCCTGCATATTCCAAAACGCTGTCCCAATAGGAATAGACTTTAAAATCCATTTTACGTAAATTGTTGGTACTTGCAGTGAGGAGTGGATGTAACCATTCTTTCAATTCCTCTTCACTTCCATTCACAAATAAGCCTTGTGATGCAAAAGTTCCATTGTAAATGGTGAATTGAAACGTGAGACGTGAATCCATTTTTGTAATCAATGCTTGCCATATGGAAAATACTTGATCCAGGTGATCATAGTTGGACCATTCTAAATCATACTTGACCACAAAGGGTGGCGCTTTGATTAATTTGAATGTAAAGGAAATGACGACTCCAAAATTACCATTTCCTCCTCCTCGAAGTGCCCAAAATAAATCTCTATATTCATTCGTTTGATTCACAGTTAATACTTTGGAATCAAAAGTAACCATTTGAATGGACAATAATTGGTCAATGGCAAGTCCATAGTGTCTCGCTAAATATCCAAAGCCACCACCCAATGCAAATCCACCTACGCCCACAGTTGGACAAGTTCCACCAGTGAAGGCATATCTTTCCATTGCCTGTTCCTCTTCTGAAGAATGATCCTCACCACCACCACCATGAAACCACAACGATTGATAAATTTCAAAATTTCGCATACCAGCTCCAACGGTCACTCGTTGGTTCAATTGATCAATTTTTGTGAATTTCATTCGAGAGACATCAATGACAATTCCACCATTATTCACTGAATAGGATTCATAGGAATGTCTTCCACTGCGAATTGAAAAGTGATAGGATTCATTCTTTGCTCTTTCATTTCTCGCATAGGAAATCCAATGAGCCACATCTTGCTCGTTTTTGCAATAGACAATGGCTGAAGGATTTTTTGCAGCAACTCTCTGATTCCAATCCAATCGATCCAATGCGTATTGTGGATTGGAAGGATCCACAATGATGGCATTCGCTAATACGAACAATGAAGATTCATGAATTCCGACACTTGTCAATTTTTGGTGATCATGATTCATCGCTGCAATCAGGAGGACCACAAGTAGCAGCAGCAACAACACTTGATTCATTCTTTGTATTTTTTGAAAACAAGATGTGTGTTATTCTTTGCGAAGAGCGAGGATAATCGAGTTATTTGGGGTTTCCCAAGTTGGAAATAATGTTTTTTACAATGATTCATTGAGGTTTACATAAACTTCTTCAACTTGGAAGAATAACGTATTGGTGCAGGTTGGTACGTTCCACATTGATGCACCACTGTTGAGAAATTATGGTCATGAGTGGAATGGCAAGCACTCACACTCCAGGTAGAAGTGGTTTGATGATTGTCTCTCCAAGTGGTTTGATGATGACGACGACCATTTGAAAAATTGTCTTTCCTTAAATCTAAAATCTCTTTTCTAAGGTGAGCAAGTTGCTCAAAACTCAATTGACTATAATCTTTGTACAAGAAGAAGGATAGAATAAGGCATAGGAATGACAGCAAGGTACTTAATTGTCTACAAATTCCTTTCCAATAATTGATCTTTGTTGTGTTGTGTGGGTCCAACAGGAAAGATGACAAGATGTACTTTTCCACAGCTAAATTTAAAGTAAAAACAAGATAAATGTACAACCGAGCATTTTGAGTGTACTTGGAAGAGGTTAATAAAAATGTCAATACTACAGCTAGTGAATAGAACAGTACAGATTTGATATCCATATACTCTCCAAGTAATGAAGTGTTCACACTAATGATATCCATGACGCCATTCATAATTTTCTGAACTTGAACATGTTGCTCTTTGATGCTTAGTGCGGTATCCTCATTGTACTTGAGCAATTCTTCAAGAGATCTCTTTGCGTCTTGAAACAATAACTGTTGTTGATCTTGTAGTTGAGTCAATTGATGCTCTGCTTGTTTTTGTTTTTCAAAAAGCAAGTTTTGGTATTCCATATTTTTTTCTAATCCATGTTCAATATTTAGAGATTTCACTTCAATAGACTCCAATTTTCTTGAAGTGAGAGTGTGTAGATCTTGTTGAAGCTTTTGGAGTGCATTCTGAGCTTTAAGTAATTGATCCTGTTGTCGAAGTGAAAGTGAAGAAATTTCATAAATCTCGTTTTGCTTTTGATTCAAACTATCCAATGTTTGTATGACAGCTGCTTGATCTTCACTCATTCGCTTTGTTTGTTGAAGAGAAAGATCTAAGGAACGGCTCAATTCCTTGTTGGCACTATTAAGTGAATGAAAATGATCTTCCACTTGTGTTCTGTGCTTAGATTGCTCCGTTGCTATATGATGTAGCTCATCGAAGAGATTTTTTGAGAGGGAATTCACTTTAAGAAATTCCTGTGTCAAGTTTTGAAAAAATTCATATTCAAGCTTCTTCATTGTCTTGAGAGTGACATCAAATTTGTTTTGACCTCGAAGAATCTTTTCCTGAATTTCCATTGAGGTTTGAATGATTTCATTTGTTTTCAGAGCTTTTTCATTGAGAGAACTAATACTCTTCATGGTTCGAATCGTTTCATCGAGTAAATTGTTAATTATTTGATCGGATTGTTCTTGAAAAAGTTCTGACTTGATAAAAAAGCAAATATTGTCCACATGGGTGCTAAATTCTGTGTAGCTGTTGAAGGCTATGGGAGAGGTGATCATGTCTTTTGTACATTCTTGAATGGTCATGTAGTCTTTGCATTCATAGGTCCTTAGACCTGATTTGCTCAAATGACAGTTTGTGATTTGGATGGCCAGTTTAGTTCTTTTCATTTCATCAGTTTTAAGCTGTTTACAATGTTCAACCAATTCATTCACTGCATCTCTCCAACAATTTGACCAATCGGATTGTTTCTTATAGTGCCCAAGTAATTCTTTTCCCTTCTCAATGTGTTCACTCACTTCACCAAAACTCCAACCAAGGAAAGACCATGCCATTGTTAATTGAATGAATACAGTACTTGCATGCAAGAGTATAACGATCAATACTACTATTAGTAGCCACCATTGTTGTGGTCTTGAAGCCTGAACCATTCGTCCTAACATTTCTAATGAATGGTGTTGGTGCAGTTGGTGCAGGTGGTGCGGTGGTGCTAGTATTGCTGTGTGTTTTTTTTAAAGTTATTCTCGAGACTTGATGGGCCATCAACAAGACATTAAAAAAGCCTCAACGCCATTAAGCAGTTACTTTTGGTAGAATTGAAAGGAACCCTCTCCACTCCTTACTGGCTTACTTTAAAAATAGTGCCAAGCAAGGAAGAGCACACTCGACGAATGGCATAGTGTTTCAGCATGAAAGGAAGTCCAATAAACAATGTAGTGAGCATCATCTTGTTCAGAGTATGAAAACCACTCATGGATGCATCATTTCTCGTATCAGCAAAGTAATACTTGTAGGCTCTTTGATACAAGGAGCAAGAGGGTATGAATAATTCTCTCGGATGAATTTCCACTTGTTCCAATTGTTCTGTAAATTGCAATAATTTGAATTTAATTTCCTGATCGGAACATACAAATCCATCATCACTGTTCAAAGTCTCTCTCAAAAATTGAATTTGATTTTCTACCTTTGCCATTGAGTCGCTATCCATCAAAGCCTTGTTGTTCTCTAAAATCTCTTCCAAGGAATAATCTTTAAATTCAGGAGAAGAACAAACAAAACATTTAGTGTCTCGGAGAATCATCTTTTCTCGAAATTGAATGTAATTTCTATACTCGTGTTGATGAAGCGTTTGAGTGGAGGGAGTGTTTCTTGGAGTGATGGATGGTTCTTCTTGCATTTTTATGAGGAGTGTGTGTTCTCAACAACTTTAGAGTTTCTTGAACAGCTGAGAAAACGAATTTTCATGGCACGCCACCAGAGTAAGATGGTATACTTGCTGTTCATATGAGTTCGAACCCCAAGTAGAGATCTTTGACTGGTTCTTGTCCATGCTTCACTTCACATACATGGTCAAAAAAGTACAAAAAATGTCTCAACAGCAGCAACCTCCACCTTCACCATCATCTTCCAAATCATCCATTCTTTCATCATCCACACAAAATACAGATCAAAGTTTAATTCAAAATTATTTTTTAATTTTTCATTCATCATTGAATCAACCTGCACAGAACAGCGAAAGATATATTGAGAAATTAAAATATGTCCCTCCGATACAAATTACTCAAATATATCCGACATTATTATTTAAAAAATTAATTCAACCAAATTTGACGTCACGTGACCTCTATGATCTATTGAGAGAATGTTATCAAATTATAACATTACCTGTTGGTGTAAACCGAGGCATTGATTTCACTAATCACAGTGGAATTATTTTATTTTTAATTAAATTATTAATTAATACTAAAACTACAAAGAAAATCAAAGTATTAATCCTATTGATCTTGACTAATATAAAATTGAGTGAAATTTCACAAATTCATCAAATCAACGAACAACAAAATCCCTATGTGAAATATATTGAATATTATACTAGAATGTCTAGTTCTGAAACTTCACTCTTAGATCAATTAATTCCTATTCAAGACAAATCTATGAATTCACTCCTTGATGTTCTCTATTTGAATCACAAATTTGAAATTTCTGATTCTACAAAAATTCAAATCTATGAATGTGATGGTCACACCATTCATCCATTAATCATTCAAGGATCATCTAAAACAGGAAATAGTAATACCATCTATACTGTTTTGAATCGAGTGAAACATCATTCATCCTATACAATTCAATCGAATTATTGTTTTAGTATTTTGAAACAAGAATTACTTCAAAATTTTGATTCTCTTTCCAAACAACAATTACAAACTATTCTCAAATATAATTTAAGAATTATGCAGCAATCTGAATACTTGTTTCAATTGAATGATTGTGATAGTATTTCATATATGGCAAGTGTTCTACTCGAATCTATCTCACAAATGGATATTATTTGTTTCAGAGATTCCAATTTTGTAAATCAAATATTTCCAATTCTCAAGAAAATCTTTTTAACCATCTCGAATAGTAATCATCCATTAGTGACCTCTTCATGCGCATTGGTACTATTAGAATGTGTGAAATTCTTTATTCATCACTCCTATACCTTCATTTATGATCCAAATATGTTGATTGAAAGATTCTTTTCAATTTATTGGACTCACTTTAAAACAAATTTATTATTGCATTTGGAATTATTGAATATGCTCATTTTAAATCATTCCTTTATTGTGGAGAATGATCTTTCCTATGTTTACAAATATTCCTACAAGACGATCTTCAATATATTTGCGATCATTCCATACAAAGTTCATCACTTGGTGCAAGTACTGTTACCATGTCTCGTGAATGAACATTCATTTACAGATATTTTTCACATCTTGACAGAACTCTCTGATCCTATCTATTCGAGTCATGTGAACACTTTCTTGAAAATTTATTTTTCAAAATGCATCAATGATGAATACATGCAAGTATTGATTCCCATCATGATTGATAAAATTAATGGTGGTGAAAGTCAACAAACTATTCATACAGGTCCAATTGAAACACAACAACACACTAGAAATGTCTATGAGGATGTTATTATCGAACAATTAACACAACAAGTTCACAAAGTTTACACGAATATGACCACAGCTCCTCTTTCAAATACAGTCACTCATCTCAGTGGAACCACAAGTAGTAGCAGTGCCATTATCAACAAGATGAAAACAGTTCTTCACAGCAACAATGACAAATTATTCCAATCCGTGTGTTACGCATTTGGAAAAATTGTGAGTGAACCAAACACCAAGATTAAGGTCATTCAATCCATTTATGAAAGCCTCGAATTAATCGTTTATGAAAAGATGATGCTGATGAAAAGGCTTAATTTTCTCACTGCCAATATGAATATCAACATGAACTTGCTACTGAATGGTCTCTGCAAGTGCGCGTTAAGATATCCAGACTTGTTGGCACGTTGCAAGGTATGTCTTGCAAACGTTGTGAAATCAAAGAAAGATGCCAAATACGCGCAATATGCCACACAATTGTACAACACGTTGAAATATCCAAACATTGCAAACAATATTTTACTTTAACAAGACACAAGTGATGATTTGTAATTCGTTAGATTTGATATTCTCAGTAAATTTGTACCAGAGTGCATGCAACTCTTTGAGTTCTGAAATTAACTCTTGAACTTTTTCTGGTGGAATACTTGCTACTGTGGTAGTAGAGGTTTGAGGTGCATGCTTTCCTGCCATTTTCAAATCATCGGATGTGATCAGCACTGTATTCACACCACCGTAACACGTTGGGTCATCGACGAGACCTCTCACATAGCATATTTTCAGCCATTCTCTGATTGGAGTTTCCTCTTTCGTATTTAACACGTTGGACAGCTCCTCATCCATGAAAATGAATTTATCATCTTCTCTCATTTGCTTGATAAATCTATTCAATTGGTACATCTTAACAGTGTTAGGAGTGAGAGCTTGAGCTTGCTCATGTGAAGCAAGAACATCTAAAAAGTTGAATATTAATTGTTGTAAAATGTTTGGATCGTATTTTCTAAGGCCCAAAATTGAGGAAGTATTGTCCTCCTTGATGGCGCCACTAATTCCTCCCAAATGAGATCTTCCAATCAATGCAAATCTACAAATATCGTCCAAAAGAGTAGTAGACATGAAATGGAATTTAAGATATTGGTCTACAAATTTAGTTCTGTCCAACTTTTTCATGTCATTCAACAGTTTGGAAATAAATTCTTTTCTTTCTTGATGAGTTTTAAAAGAAGCCTTTGAATCTTGATATTTAGAAATATTTCTCAAAATGTTTGTGAATTGGTTGCATTGTTCCATTAACTCATCATCTACTTTGATGTATTTGTTATTCACTAAATTTGTAAATTGCAGTAATCTCTCAATAATCAATCTTTTCTGCTCTTTTCTAATTCTATTGATATTATTTAAAATTTGCACCTTTCTTCTTGGCAAAACCAAATGTGAAGGCAATAAAATTGGAAAAATAAATGCCATAATGTAATAAGCAACTGAAAATGGAAATATTAATACAATAAATGGAATGGCTTTCAATACCTCAATAGAATATTGAGTAGTAAATAGAATTTCAGATCTATTTGCCAAGTGAAATGGTCTGTTGTTGTTAATTTCCTTTTTCAACGCCATATACTTTTTGGTGTCTGTTACAATGCTTCGGAGGCCTTGGTAGTAAAATTTTCCATAATAGGACATTTTATAAAACCATTGATCGAAATATTGTTTGACGCGATCCATTAGACTGTAAGCCTTCCCAATCCATTGTTGATAATCTTGATAATTGAATGAATATTTCGGAGTGGTGGTTTGTTTTGGAGATGAATGGGATTCATGTTGTTGTTGGTGATGATGATAGTGATGAGCCTTACTTGGATGTGGGTCATTGGATGATGTGATTCGATGAGTATCGGATGCATCTTGCTGAGGTGGTACAGGAGGGTGATCACGTTGTTGTTGTTGTTGTGATGGTTGTGGACCCAAAGATGATTCTGACTTGCCATCATGAGTGTCGTTCGTTTGACTTTTTTCGGATTTGGAGGGTGTGGATACATCATTGAGCAACAGAGAAGACGAGTGATAGTGTCTGATTGTTGGAGCGCTCTTGTAACGAGATTGAAAATTGATCACCTCATGCAATGATGATACTTGTAGATGATGATGATCGAATTGAAAATCATCGTGACACACCCGAGTTGTTACGTTTGTAGTGTTTTGAAATTTAATGTGGCGAGAGGAGCTGTAGTGTCTTTGGATGACATTGTTGGTGGTGGTGGTGGTGATTTTATTCAATTTGAGATTATTAGGGTTGGCTCCAACCTCTCGCAATAACACCACACGTGAGGATGATTTTAGCATTTTTTTTGTTTAATTTGGAAACCACTACATTCTTCGCTCAACAATTGATTGGTCAATCAATTCATTGGTGATAAGAGTTGACATGATCATTTACTTGTAACCCCATTTGGCTACTACTCCTCCCTTCTTGGGCTTCTTCAAAACCAAAGAAATTGGACAATGATCACTTCCAAGAACCTTACTCAAAATATAACTGCTCTCAATATTTTCCTTCAAGCTTTGAGAACAAATGAAATAATCAAGTCTCCATCCCTTATTCTTTGCTCTCATGTTGAATCTGTAACCCCAATAGGTATAACAATCAGGAGTGGTGGGATTGAATAATCTAAATGAATCAATAAAATTATGTTTGACAATGGGTGTGGCTTTGCGTTCTTGGTCGGTAAATCCAGCAGTTTTCTTGTTTCCTTTTGGATTGTGAACATCAATGTCCAATACAGCCACGTTTAAGTCTCCAGTCCAAACCACCTTTAGGATGATGTGATTGATTGTTGACAACAAATTTCAAGAACTTACAGGTTTGGTTGCTTCGAGTGTTTTCAAATAATTTAACAAGTCAACATCCCATTCTGTGGTTCTGTAGTCAAGTCTTTCCAGTTTCTGACCCGAGTTTGGAACATAGGTGTTCACCAAATAAATATCTTCATATTCTACTGTAATGAGTCTACCTTCATCGTCATGCTTACTAATTCCCATACCATAGGATACTTTAACAGGTGGGTGTGAATCTAAAGTAAAAACAGCAGTTCCAGAATATCCATTCTATTCATTGAAACAATTGGAAATTGGTCAATCATTTGATCAAACATGAGATCGATGGCATCCAATGATGACACCAATTAGTTTGACAATAACATGTCCAAATCATCAACAAAGCACTTGAATCACCTACCTTTGCTACACAATGATTGAAATGGGCGGTATAGCCTGGAAGAATCTTTTCAAATTTGCTCTGATTTTTAGCAGTAAGTTTAGTCTCTTGCAAACAAATGCAGTATGGCTTTTCAGAATCACCCAATAATTTAATATAATTCTCCTTCTTCATCAATGCACTTATTCCATTCACGTTGAAACTAATAAATTTGTAATGAGTCTCGGGATCATAGTCATGTTCCAATAATCCGAGTTCCTTCGGATCTGATACAGTGGTCTTGGCAGGAGAAGCTAAATCATCAACTTCATCTCCTGATTCATTTTCTTCTCCTTCATCTCTCTTCTTCTTTTTGGTAGGTGTGGTGCTTTTGCTGGACGATGAGCTGCCATTCGATTTACGTTTTGGAGCCATTTTTTCAAAAATTTATTTCTTCAAGAAATTGGAAAAAAAGTTACAATTTGGATGGTCTACTTGTGGTCGACTGCTCTGCTTGAGAGTTATGTTCCACACGATACATTAATTGAGAAAATCCAGTTTTTTTCACCGTTAAATCTTCAATAAATTTTGGATAGAGTTCATAAATGATTGGCGACCAATGGTAGAGTGTTTTGAAACGTTGAGTTCCTTTCTTTTCTCGCACTGCTTTCAATGTTTTTTTAACACATTCCTCAACACTCATCATCTTGGATCCGTTGTCATAATTGGTTTGATGTTCAGTGACATGATGTTTTCGAATGTCAGTGTCTACCCTACAATGAGTGAAATTCAATGTTGTTGAATTCAAAGAAGAAGGAAGGAACGAACAGATGATGATCGATCACCACACATTTCAGAATGTAAACATTTTCAAAAAATGTTATTAAGGTCATTGTATCCATGTTCACATGAAATTTCCCATAATTATGCCTCTTAAATACACAACATATTCCCTCAACATTACTTACCATCCTGGACATATTAATGTAATACAAATATGTTTTGCATCTTTCGTATGTTTCAATTCAGTTCTCAATGTTCTAAAAAATCCTTCCACAGCAAATTTTGACATACAATAAGCGGTTCTCATAGGAATTGGAATTACACCACTCATACTACTCATAACGCAAATATGTGGATTAGATTTGGATTGTTTCAATAATGGTAATGAGAATTTAGTAAGATAAATGTATCCCATCACATTGGTTTTAAACATTTGTTCAAATATGGACATGTCTTGAATGTGTTCAAATGGAATACTTCCACTAATGCCTGCACAGAGAAATAATTTATCTAAACGACCATTGTATTTGGAATGAATGGATTGAATGGCATTTCTTTTTTTGTCATGATAAGAAATCAAAATCATAAAATTATAAGAAGAATGGCCAATCAATTGAAAATATTATGAGAGAATAATGGCAATATATATGAAAGATGTAGAGTTGATGATAGAAGATTCAGCAATATTGATCAATAAGAGCACACTCACTTACTTGCATTGCTCTTCATTACTCACGTCACAAGGAATCACAAGTGTTGAGGATGCACCCAATGAAATACATTCTTGAGAGACTTGTTCCAATAATGATTTAGTTCTTGCGAGTAATACCACACTTGGTGATTAAAATTAATTAAAATAAATATGAACAAATAATAATTGATAGTTACTTGGTTCTAAATTTTGATAATTCCAAAGCAATTTTCTTTCCAATACCTGATGATGCTCCCGACACGACACATACATCATTCGGAAGAAAATACGAATCAATGATTTTTGTGGATGATGAAGAGGAGGACATTTTTTATGATGATCATAAAGGTTTTCAAAACGTCTTTCGAAAGACTCTTTCTCGAGACCTCCATCCGGTTCATGGTGTTGTCACTTCTGGCAAATGTCAATCGCAAGTAGTTCCTTCTGCTGGTCGCTTACAAGAGAGCATCAGTCTCCAAAATCTGTTGATCGATTGCTTGACGGTGTTCCAGTACGAAAAGCTTGATTCAAACTTGCCAACGAATTCTGAAGTTTAAGCTTCACTGGCTTTGGGCTGTCTTGGAACGAATTATTGAGGTGGGGTTTGTTAGGTGGTTGAGCGCTGTTTGGATTTTTCGAAGGAATTCCATTAATCTTATCGAAAAGAATTTTGAGCACCTTTTCTTTATCTTGCCAAGAAAGAGATGGAAATGATGGTTGTGGATGTTGGGAATCTGGAGGAAGTACTGGAGATTTAGAAATTGGTGGTAGAGATTGATTGATCTGTCCTCCTTCTTGAGTTTTTGCATAGGTGACAACATTGCTACTTGGAGGATTTTTCAATTGTTCTTTCACGGTACCAAGGGCCTCATTAAAAAACATTTCCAACTCTGTTCTTTGTTCGAGGAGTCTCTTCCCAATTTTCCTTATATGATTCAGCTCTCGATTTCGTACTTGTAAAATTCTTGAAAGCTCATCTCGTTTTTTCTCCAAATCTTTAATTTGCTGCTCATATTTTTCTTTCAATTCATACTTTTCTTCGTTAAACCTCTTTTCTAAATCAACAAACACTTTCTCAGTATCATATTTTTGGTTCATTGTTCGTAATTCTTTTGACAAGTTGAAGCATTGTTTTGTATATTCTTTGAGAAGATCTTTGTTCATTTCGATAGTCCGTGTCAGATTCTTATTTTCTTGCTTATATTTATCTTTTTCTTGTGTGCACTCGCGAAGCTCTTGTTGACATTCTTCAAGTTGTGCCCTCAACAGAATGTTTTGTTCATAGATTGATCTACTTTTTTCGTCGATGAGTTGGAGAGCTCGTTCCTCAACTTCCCTCTCGAACTGTTCTTGAATTCCACTCTCTTCTTTTCGAGATCTCATAGTTTCCTTAATAAATATTTGTTTGGATTTTGTTAATTCTGCGTCGAAAAATTTTCTTATTTGCTCGTTTTCTTGTTCTTTTTCATGGTACAGTTGTTTATACTTTTCTAACTCTTTCTGATGTAGTATTAGATTGATATAATTTTCTTCTTGTTGAAATACACCTACCTTTAATTCATCTTGTAAAGACAAAGCCTTTTCTAAATTTAAGAGCTCCGTATCCTTTGACTGCAATTCCTCAGAAAACCTCTGTTTTGCCTCATCCAATTGTTTCTCCAATTTACTAACAAGCTGTTTATGATGTTGTGTATTTTCTGAGAGATCTTTTTGATTTTGCAAAATTGTTCGGTTTTTTAATTCCAAATCCTTTCGGAGATAATTTGCTACTTGAATCTGAATAGGAGGTTTGTTAATTTCCGATCATATCAAAAGAAAGCGATACTTACAGATTCTGTTTCGCGCTGCTTCAATTCTTCAACGAAAGCATCGTGTTCTTGTTTTAATTTTTCATACATCTCCTTATAAGTTTGCAAGGCTTTCGTTTTGGCCTTCAACCCTTCAATCTCAAGTGCTTTGTTTTGAATCTCGGCCAAACAGTGCTGTAATTGCTCCTCTACAGAGGGAGCTTTTTCTGTTTCCCTTGCAACCCCTTTCTTCGGCATTATAGATGCTGCTGAGGGATGATGGTATTATTCAAAACAAGCGAATGGTTTTTTCTGATAGAGGTGGAGCGAGTGAGCCAATTGTTTCTTCTTCTTCTCTGCACCTTTATCGTAATTTTTTTGGTGTTGTTTGAAGAACGACGACGACGACGACGAACTAAGGTAAAGCGCCGTCGTCGTCGTTGCAGGAAGAGATAACATGTTACTGTCACTCCACATCAACATATGGTACCGAATGCCGATTCGAGTGGATTATGACGCACACAGGTTTGCACTCCCGATATCTTGAGAAACATCAATCGTCGTTTTTACTTTCAAATTGATTTTCAAAACTTGTAACGCGGTTAGGTGGTGTTTGTGGATGAGTGGGTGGCGATGATGAAGAGGAGGAGAATGGAGTGACATCTCCCCTTAGGAGTGATGAAGATGACTCTTGTTCACGAAGAATGAATTCTGGGATCATTTTCCTTGTTGCGGATCTCTTTGCTGTGACTAACACAGGGCGTGAAGCTTTTACAGTAGTGGATGTATTCTCGTTATTGAATAATTTCTTTTCTAATTCTACTAACTGTTTCATAAATCCACAATTGATTTCGATGGATGGTCTCTTCTTCTTTACATATTTGAATGCCTTCTCGAGTGACCATTCTTTAAATTTCATTAAACAAGCAACAACCAAACAAGCAGATCGAGACATTCCCATAAAACAATGCACCAGAGTTTTTCTCTGCTCTTTTTTGGCCATTTCAATAAATTGAAAACATTTCTCAAAATAGAGACTTATATTCTCATCTTCAGAGTCACGTACTGGTATGTTGCAATAGAGAATTCTATGATTAGAAGGATTGTCATTCGTATTAGCATTGGTATTATTGCTCTTGTCATTTGTACAATCATTGCTGATGATATTATTTGTCCATTCACATGACGAGGATGGAATGGTATTCCTTGTACAATTTAAGTTAATGTTTTCAAATACATTTTCGCATTCAACTGCGGCATTAATAATACATGTAACTCCTAATTCAGAGAGTTGTTGGAAATTCATTGAATTTTGAACATTTCCCAAATATAGGTTATTAAATAATTTCGTGGGTCTCTCACAAATAACTCGTTGAGAGAGATTCGAAAATAATAATTGATGTGCATGTCGAATACGATCATTCATTGAGGGTAGTAAGGTAGAAGTTGTCGTAGTAGTAACCATGGTAGCAGTCGAATTGAGGGTTGTCGATACTCTAGAGAGGTGAGGAATGACATCACGATACTCGTTGTGATGAGGAGTGATAGTATTTGACTTCTCCATAGAATGAAGGGAATGGTCATGATGATTGTCTTGATGCAACCGATCATGATATTCTTCTTCCTTCATCGGAATTTCTTTGTGAGGCTCATGTATACAAAATTCTTTCATGGTTTCAAAATTCCAACATAAATTGGAGTGGTAATGATAAAATTCCGAAAATCCACCCACAAGAATATAGATCTTTGGTTGTTTTTTAGATCTATGGTTTATGTAATTCCAATCACCCTCCGAGTGGTGGTGTTGTTGTTGAGGTTGTTGTTGTGGTTGAGGTTGTTGAGGCTCAACGTTATTGATATTTTCCTTATTTGATTCTCTCAAATTTTTTTCAAAAGTGTTCTTTTCGTGTTGCTGCTGTTGAGATTCGTACACGAGAATGATTCTCTCGACATGTTCCTTACATTTGAGAAGTATTTGTTCGTGATAGTAGTAGTGTTCTTGGAGTTGTAATTGTTGTGGATGATGGTGTACGGTATTGATAGAACTAATACAAGTTAGTTGGGAAGAACCATTCCTCTCTTTAAAATCATTCCAATGACCTTGAATGGAAGTCATGATATGACTCTTTTCATATTCAATTCTATCTCTACAATCTATTATAAGAGTAGAGTAGGGTTCATGAATCATGTAGTGAATGAGTGCTTTACGAGAAATGAAACAAGTTGTTAAGTGATCATTCTTCTTCGTGATGAGTGTATTGGATAGAGTGTTGAGTGTCGTTGGAGTCTTGCTCGCATTAGAGAAATTGTTTTTGATTGGATGGTTAGGATGAGTTGTTGTGCAAAGAGGTTGATGGTGGTCTCTTCTCTCTTCAGCACAGTTCTTTTTGTAGCTTGGAATTTGTGGAGGATGGTTTGGTTTTGTCATTCTTTTCAATATGGATGTACAGGATTATTACAATGATGATGGTTAATATTGTAAATATTTACAAAAATTGATTATTTGAAGAAGAGAACAATTAAAACTCGTCGTCGCTACCAGAAAAAACGTCAATCTTGATTGGTGATGAAATTCTCAATGTAACTTTTTGTTGTGACTATTCAAGAAGAGATTTGTTCCTATGAAGAGAATTATTCTCGAAAACAACAACTGTTGTGATGATTGAAAGGGGTAAAAAGGAACACGACGTCGAATCGAAAGACATGGATGGTCAATTTTTTTTAATTGAAAGCCGTTGAGCGAACAAAAATATCTCTTAAATTTTGTTTACAAAAAAATTGCTGGAAATGTGTCCTTCAGTAAAACGTTTTACTGAAGGACACATTTCAATTTCCAATTTAATTTCATTGGAATATTACAAATAGAAGAGAGAATTGCATCTGATCAACAACATACACTGTGATAACTCTCTTCCATTATTCTCCCTCAATACTGCCCTTTTTTCACTACTCCAATCCAATGGCATTCCAAAACTTTCTTGCAACAGTACTGTCGGTGTGTCTTTTTGTTTCTGATTTGCTGATATATAATTTTTCTAAATTCCAATTTTGAAGATTTGGTGCCAAAGCATCGCTGTCATAGACAAGAGTAAATCCCTTCTTCTTTGCAAATATTACAGATGGATCTGTAGAGAACCAGTTATTACTATCTTTGAATTGCCATAATTGTCCAATTGTAAATATTGCAACAACTCGATCCCAATCTTTCTTTTGAAAGTTCTTTGTTGTATCCAACACAAGAAATTGTTGATTTGATTTTGGATGTTTGATGATCACCTCCTTTGGTTTTGGTAAATTTGGATCTAAATTCTTCTTCTTATCTTCAGTAGTAATAAATGTTCCTTTTTGAAGAAAATCTTTCACATTGTAAAGAGTGAGAAGTGAAGATCGAGCAGGTGGAAGTAAAATGATAGGTAATGATTTTTTAGAGGCATGTTTCGAATCGGTTGTTGTTGGTTTTTGTTTGGAACTTGCTTCTGATGAAGGTTGACTCGATCGAGTGTTATTGGTCTCTTGATTCAAGGCACTAGTTGAAGAAGATGTACTTGAAACTGCCGCTGTTGATAAATCTCCACCGAGTCCAACACCACCGCCATTACTACTGTTATTACCACCATTAACACCACTACCACTAGCATCCATCATCATGGAACCTGTTGTGTTAATTTGGAAATCATTCAAAATATCTTCATTTCCAAATTCTGATTGCCAAACATTTCTTTCATCAAATCGACCCTTCACATTGTAATTCAATTTAACATTTTCTTGATTATAACTTTGAGCCTTTTCTTTCTTTTCTCTTTCTTTCTTTTTCTTTTGTTCTTCTTTCTTGTAGTGAACAAAATGTTCTTTACATCTTTTGATATTATCCAAACAATTGGTAAAATATGACACTGAAGATTTTGATGATCCATTCGGATTGGTTGCAACGAGTTCTGATGAATTCTTCTTATCAACATATTCCTTTTCAATTTGTGTTTGTGTAATTCGAGTACTAAATGGAATTTCCTTAGAATTAATATAATTAATAACATGACTTCGATCATAGATGAGATAAGGTAGATAGGCATCTACATTCATACTTGTTGATGCATCTGATGGTAACAAATTGGTTAGGAATTGAATAAATTCCTTTTTAGATTCCTTTTCTTTTTCTCCAAATTCAAAAGTACTACTCATAGCACCCGATGAGAATGGCATATGAAATGGTTTTGATTTCTTATTACCACGATCTTGATCCCCTTGACTCAAGCTTGCTTCATTGAAATCTCTCTTCTTTGTACTTTGATCCATTGCTAAAGCACCACCACCAACAGCACTCGAGAGATCCGACCCGAGTGTGGTACTTCCTGCAAGGATACCACCACTCGTGCTGCTACCACTCATAACACCTCCACTACCACCACTGCTACTACTACTTTGAATATTCTGCAAGGTCGAGTCATCACCAAAGACAAGCAAATGACTATCAATCTCTTGGCCTAACTCTGATTTGAAATGTTGCTTGATGGATTGAAAGATAGGGAAAGTAACGGAATTGATATTGTATTCTTTACATTGTTTCAAATAGGCTGAAAAATCATCATTCTTGAGAATAAACCAAAGTTGAGCCAAAGAAAGTTGTTGATTGTTTGGTAATTTGATACGAGTATCGCTTGGATAACAATGAGAAGCATCAAGTATGATGTTTTGTGGGGTGTAAGTGATGGGATTTGCTTTTGATTTGAGATGAGAAGTTAAGACTTCGAGAGGACCATCCATTTTGAAGGTTGTTGTTATTGTTGTATAGTTTGGCTGGTTTTAAAAATTGAATCAGAAAGAGTTTGTGATGAGGAGGAGATTTGATGAAAGCTACGGAGTAAAATCTAGGTGATGTCGGATGATTAAATTAGATGAGGTTTGTATAGATTTTCAAGATAATAAATATTGGATGATGATGTTTTTGAATTCTTTCCGTGTCTAGCGAGTAAAAGTGTTGTTTGATGATTTGACTCGAACGCACGTGCTTCGAATTTTTTTGTGTGTTTGAAATTTTAAAGTTTCGATTGAAAGGAATTTTGCACGAGAGAACTGAACAGCAAAACCGCAACTCTTCTTCTTGTCAATGATGATCATCATCCTATCATGATCATACATTTTCTCTGCCATACAACTCTCTTCTTCCAATGAAGATGAAGTCACTCATAAACACGGAACAAAAAAAT